TTACCGCAGAGATTTGGTAGCTTTACCCCACAGACTGCAATTTTCTACTTCCAGTGAAAGCCCATCAGTCCATTCCAAATTCATTATGCATACAGGAAACAGAATATATCCTCCAATCCTTTGTAGTCTTTTTCACRTTTGAAAACTGTACAATCAAAATTATAATTTGACAGAAATTGTTCTATTTTAAAGCTTGGTCACTTCAATGCATGTATCTTCACCTAATATAAAACTGCTAGATCTGCTCTGAAAATCATTTTGCTTTGGTTTGGTCTTTTGGGGTTTTTTTGGGGTAGTTGCTCTGTGAATATTTTAATTCTAATTTGTTTTCAGCTGAAAACCATGGGAAGCTATTTCCAGCTTCAAAGTATTATGCAGTGCATGCGATGCTGGAAAAAAAAAAAAATTAGAATTCCTATATTTCTGTACTGAAAATATTTTATAAGAAAATTTTGAACAACCTAAAAGTCTGTCCAATGACATTTCTAGCAGAGGAGCCAGTACCATAAAGTTGTTGTCAGCAACAGCTTCTRTTCCTTTTAACTTCCTCCTGACTGAGCTGTTCTCAAGCCCTGTGCCTTGGTCTAAGCTATAAYTTCTTCCTTAACTGCTGTGACTTTGTGTTCTCACAAAAATTAAATGAAGGAAGAAYTACTRTCTGCACAAGATTTTGCCAGCTTGTCCAAACAGACATTGCTTAGCCAAGGAAAATTTAAATTAGTGAGAGCAATGCATATATTACTTTTTTAATGCGTGTAGGTGTTTTTTTCTTCAGGGGTATGTGTGTATAGACACATACAGAGATTTTTATGCATACACAAATAATGCACTTTCTTTTAGAGTACTGTGTACTGTGAATATAAAATATGGCCTAAAAATCCTATAGAACTTTTCTGTTATTGACTATAATTTGCTATAATTACACTGAAATCCTTTTTATATAATTTGTTGATAATCCAGTGGTTTGCTCTTTTGTATATTTTTGCTCTTCCCAACATTTCTCTATGAATTTAGCCATGAGTCAGTTTTATCCTGATCCTATTTAACTTCCAGTCATTTTCCTTTAAACTTGCAATTCCTCAGGTCAACACTGCACTGTTTGAATATATATCCTGTAGCAAGATATTTACCTGGATATATCTATTTTTGCATGAAAACCATCTCTGGCAATACTAATWCTGGCAAACTCCTGTATGCAAGTATGTTTTATACCAGCTCTGCATTTGAGGTCATATTTATCCTGAGATAGTGGCCCYTTAAATTCAGTCCAGTGTGTTTTGATCACTTAATTTGGTTATTTTTGCAGCTCCAAAATGAATGAGAACTGGAAAAYTATCAAAAGAAGRTTTTTAAGAAGTTTGTACCATGTGYGCCTTSTCCATGAACACAACCAGTGGAAACTCACATCTAAAAATAAATAGTCTATTTCCTACTGCTAATAAATATTTGGTTCCATTTTGTGAGGAGGCAGAAAACACATTGCCTGTGAAAATACACTAAAGTTCTACAAACAGAAGATTTCCAGAATCAAGTACRTATGCTCTAGACTGATACTTGGAACACAGAATATTCCATAAATTTGACTGTATTTCTTTTGTCTGAAMAATCTGGTTGGATTATACAGTAAAATTGTGAAATCACTTAAAAAGGAGAATTGATCAGAATGCTGCTCTGCTTTTTGTAGTACTAAAACCATTCCACTTTTTTTTCTCTAGCCTTTTATTCTGAGGCATGCTGGGCATTGGTTTTTTTACGGAAACTATTGCATTAAGTCTATGTTTAGGAAAGCATTAAACACCTGCTTAATTAAAAAAAAAAAAAATGCAAATGTTCTCCTTGAAATCAATGGACCTGCTTCTAAAATTAAAGTTAAGCATCTGCTTTAGTATTTCTTGGCCTGGGTCTGCAATCCATACACAGATGGACTAACAGTGGTAGCGAGTTTCAAGATGTCATAATGACAAAATAGCCTCCATTAGATCGTTAATCTATCTAGATATTTATATGGCATCCATCTCCATAAAAGCTGCAGTACCTATCTTAGAGTAGCCAAGAGTGAGGTCATACAGTCCCCTGAATTTAGCCTAATTACTGTCTCTTCATTGCTGGCCTTCCAGGGCAGCTAGCTGTGCCTCCTGGAATAATTAAACAAACACTCTGCATCCACTGCTCTTGGCTGCTCCAAACAACCTCACTGGCTTTGCACTGAAGGAAGAGGAGAATTTGTCAAAGACAGATGTGCTGCTCAGCTAAGGACAGCTTCCAGACCAGGGACAACCAGAAGGAACTGGGCAAAACCGTCTTAAACCCTTCYATCCATAAAAGGCTGTYTCATTCATTCCTACATGCCACCTCSCTCCAAAATTATGAACATTTTTCCTGAAAAGCTCCCCCTCTTCCTACCCTCAAACTCTGTTGGCTATAAATCATCCCATAGTTCAGTAGTTAGCTGGCTTCATATTCATAACACAACAAATATTTCCCCTCCAGCATCAAGTCAGGCAGGCTCCATGGGGTATAATTCCCGAAGTCAAGTAGTGATCTTCAAGACAGAAGTTGCTTTCCACTCCACAAAGGAGAAGGGTTTGTTAATCGTGCAACTATTTAAAAGTCACTCCCAAGATGTGCACCTGAGCTCAGAGTCTGTAATTTATAATCTACCCACCCACACACGTGCACTGCAATCAGATCACTGTTCCCACAGAAAATAAACATGCTGAAACACAAGACCCAGCACTGTTCCAAGCAGTGATAAAACATTTTAAAGATACGGGATGGTTTCGCAACATCTCCAGGTAGCACAGGGCAGGGGCAAATGTCCCCTCASCTGCTGTGGAGTGTTAATTCTAAATGTACAGACATAAAGTGAGAGAGTTTCCTTTGATCTCATCTCATCTTTACAAACTGGGCCTTGATATGTTGGAAGTATAGTTCCCAATGCCAAAGYTCTTCAAAAAGCTCTCTCAGTGAAAGGATTGAGGACTACTCAAAAAAACCTGAAAAATTAACTCCTCAACACATCATTTTCCCATCATATAGTACCACACACATCAAGTAAATCTCCAGCGGGGAGGAACTGACTGCAAACAAATTAAGCACAGATTTTGGTGAAACACTCTAACGTGAAACTCAAAATAAAATAGTGCCTTTTAAAACAWTCTTAGTGCCTACATGCAATTGAATGACTGAAGGGCTTTGTGGCAGCCATGGAACATGATCATTAATAATAATGCTATTCCACATAAATGTGTTAGTCATGGAACCACACCTYCCAGGAGGCAGTAGTCGCTTCCCTTGGAAGACTGTGGTACATCATGTAACAGCCAGTTATATAATGTGCATCTAGTTCAACTTTTTACCTTTGTTTAAGAAGTAGACAAGTGCTGATATACCTGCATTTTTCAAAAGGCAGTTATTCCATTTTTTTCTAGTAATTTAAAAAAAAGACAGTGCCAAATTCCTGTTGGCATTCTGGTGTGTGTCCTCACCAAAATAATCATGARCTTGAGTGTCCTCTAGTAGGGTGGTAGCTAAAGGTTCCTGGCACTGGAGTACTTGAGAACATCATAAATATTAATGGAGTTATCCTTCCAGCTTTGCTGTGAGTCTTTATTACGACCATTTTGCAAACAGAGAATTGAATTTCAGTCACTTGCCCAAGGCAATACAGGAATTTTGTACTGGTGCCAGGATGGAGTCCACATTTCTGGAGTCCTCATCCAAAGTGTCTTTTTCTACCCTCTTCTGATGGACAAAAAAACAACTTTTGTACCTCAGTATTTTCTCTTGGCCTGTTTTRAAGCTATTGCCTCCTACATGTGATCATAAAACATGTCAAAGTGAGCTCTTATTTTTGAATAAGAGATATAGTATTTCCATGTGAGGGGATGGGGATTTAATTGGCAGTCTTGCTCTCTTCTTGGCTGTCAGGAAGCACAGCCCCTGAAGAAAAAAGGAGTGTTCTGTGTTGCACAACCTACAGTGATTGCTCTGGATGATTAAGAAGTGGTATTAATACATTCCAYGGATGAAATATCCAATCTTCCTTAGCCTGAGGGATAGAAACTAAAATCCTGGGCCTAGATGGAGAATTTAAGAGACCTGAAGAGAATCCCTGGAGAACAAAATAATTTGTTTTCCCTTGAAGTACACTGACCAAATAGACAAAAACATACCAAAAGTCTTGTAAACAGGAAAAATCTCACCCATCTCACCCAAAGAGCCTTGCATACCCAATGCTTTCAGTTTGCTTGGGTTCTCATCTCCACAGTTTTGCTCTGAATTCAATGCACTCAGAGATGCACATCAAAGCCTACCCACAACTGTTGTTTTTAGTTCAAGAGCAAATAGTCTGGTTTTCCTACTATACCATAACTATGGCTACATTTGYTGAAGATTTACTCCAGAATTCAGGTGGGAATTTTTATTTACCCAGAACAAGGTTGAGATATGTCATTCTAGGCACAATCTTGCTCACAACATGAGCAAGAAGGACTTACAGATCTCCAAGGAGACATCTCAGTCCTCACACTGCTGAGGGGCTGTTAAACATATAATGCACAAAGYAGTAAAATATTTATGTCAATATTTTAAAACACAATGATAAATTATGCATTTAAGACCCCTTAAGCTGAATGTGCACATCTTAATAATAAACTGTGGTTTAGCAGATATTGCAGTGATTGATACTGAGATTTAAAAGCAACAYTCCATAGTTCTCACTTTGGGAAGGGTGCAAATCAGATGTGTTTGAGGGCAAAGCCAGCCTAAAATATTTGCAGTGATGCCTAACCTTCACCTGTAGATACTTATCCACATTGTCCCCATCACTGGACATTTTAAAAAAACATGCATGGTCTTGTGATTTCCAAGCCTGTGACTTCTCCTGTCTCATGTGCACTTGAATTATCTCCTAAATTTAGTTTACTAAGAACTTCTAGCCTAATGGAATAGAACATATCCCATCCCCCCCAGCTATGAAGCTGTTAAGAGGTTCATACCTCTTTAGTATTTTGTGGCTTTTTCCATCAGTACATCCAGGTATTCAGACACAAATATCTTCATACCACTTGGCTGAAGTTCAGAGAARATTTTCTTCTCTGCATTTCAGTGTGGCCCTTTACAGTGATGGAAACCATCTGTTAAACTAGGGTGTAGAATGAATATTCCTSAGGATTTGAGGATACTTTTGTCCTTGGACACAATTTGGTTTCAAGTCCTCAATCTGGTAGTTTCCAATCATCCTTAGGAAAAARTCCTCACAGTTAGAATTAAACTTCATATGCACTTTGAACTGCTATAGAAATTGGGAAGTGCTCCTTCACRCCAACATTAGACAGAGTCTGTAGGGCACAACCTCCTCCATAATGCTTAGGTCATGTGGGGATATTTTTCTTTGTATACTTATTAATTAAGGTGTCATGAATTAATTAGGCACAATGCCACTAAAGAGCTATGATAAGCAGTGCATCTTATATGCTAATAGTATGGGCGTCTCTTACATAAGTGAGTCATCCCTATTTCCCAAATCAGCAATTTCACTGTGCCCTGTGGGTGAATGTCTTTCATAGAAATTATTCCCAGAACTYCTTTAAAGAACATCTGAGACAGCACTGGAACACCACTAATTTATCTTTCCACACCTATGCTGGAGCCCTTTTGGCCAAGAGTTATTTTACTCACGTCTCCACCCCAGGTGTGAGGTCCTACTCCTACCTTTCCATTGTCTTTGGGATCATGGGCTTGTCACAGCTCCCTCCCYGGAGACTGAAACCACTGCCCCATGGAGGCTTTGTACCTAGGCCCAAAGGGCAGTTCTCTGCTCCCAGAGCAACCTTTTTTTCCAAAAGACTACCCAGGAGTAGGTACAACTTAAAATGAACTGAGTATCCATTCCTTTCAAAGCTAAGTTTTCTGAGGAGATGAAATTCCAAGCTGCGATGATAAAAAAAAGCACCAAAACCAACCAACCAACCAACACAAAAAAAAAAAAAAAACCCAAACAAAAATAATTCAAAATAAACCCCCAGCTTCTAAGAAAGTTGCACACTAAAGAAAACCACATCCAGGTGAAAGAAAAGTGCCTAAAATGTAATAAGGTTAAATAAAAAAGTTTAAACTGTCAAGTCATGCCTGATATTTCAAGGAGTAAAAATGGCAGCAGTAACTACAACATCTTGGCAGGACAAAGCATCCTCCTGTTCCAGGATACAGGCACCACCTGGCAAATGCTCAGCACATCTGAAAATGAAGGTAGTCATTGAGGCAGACAGAGGAGGTTGCCTGAGTCCTGCAAGTCCTGCTTTGTTTGGGGTTTTGTTTGTTTGTTTTCTTGTCCTTTCTTTCCCGAGGAATCAATAAAATCATAGTAAGTTAAAAAGTTACCATGTCTCATCTGCTGTCCTGCTATTCTGTTCTGTCTCCAGGTCCAGATGAGTTGGCTTACTCCCCTGTCAGGGAGAGGCAGGTTCCTTTGTGTTACCTGATGTTATGCATTATCAGCGCCTCCTTTCATTGCAAAGCACCTGTGGACATCTACAGCATGAGCACATGTGACCTGAGGCATTTTGGCAAGCCTGTATGGAAAAAAGTAGGCATCCCTGTATTATGAAGTACCATAGCAGTTTAAAAAAAAATATCTGTATATCTCTCTGGGATTCTGCCTCAATTGGAGCTGAAGCAAGTAGGTAACTTTTCAGGTCCTATCCAAGATGTCTTGCCTGCGATTGCACAGGAGAGATACCAAAATGAACTCCAAGCCTCTCAAATCACAGTTAAAACCTCTGTCACTAATGCATCCTTTCCTTTAAATTATAGCTAATTTAATCTCCCTAGCTGGACTCTGCTCAGCTAGGATTGACAGCAGTGTAAATCACTGCAATAATGCCACTCCAGAAGATGCACCCAGTACATTTTTACTTTGCTCAGTAATACATCAAAGAAGAGAGGCAGAAGATACAAAGGACATTATTAGGATTGATCTAACCTGCTTTGCTTAAAAAACATCTACAGCAAGGCAATGTGGACTAAGATGTTAAAGAAAGAGCCACATACATTGCAGTCCTCTAAATCCAAAATCAGACAGATCTGCAGGCATCTCTATTGAWTTAAATGAGTTTTGTATCAGACTCCCATACTGTATGGTTAAAGATTCTGGGCAGGGTGAGCTGTCAAGGAAAGGATGTACTTAAAATTACATTTTGACAAGAAGAGGAAAACAAGATTTCCAAAGTACAGAGTGTTTTTGCTTTTACTGGGATGCTTTCTAAGCCTCACTGTTCCTGCTGTTCTTTAATTCTTTTGTTACTACAACCACAAACACCTTCCGGGCCAGGAAATCCGATTTCTCTGCAAGTAATTATCTTTACACACAATAGACACAGAAAGCATTGTCACCACCTGAGAAGCTCATAWGGCTAAAAGGTTTGTGTGTGGATATTCCTGGGCCAACAGTGGAGGGTGAAGAGGGCTAATGAAAGAGCTAAGAGAGTGAATGRGGTAGAMGCTTTTATAAACAACGTATTTTCTRRCTAATTTGGGGGTRGGGGGCTGTCATTAGGTTATAATTCTAGTATTCTAARTTAAAGATCAACTGGATCCAGCCAACTACACACAGGGCAGCAAGGCAGGGCAAGGGCATAATCCAGGAATCCTGCCTGCTCTCTTTGAGAGTGCTTAGTCAGACTCTCAGCTCTTCCACAACATTTTCCACACCCTAGCTCTTGAAACACCATTTCAACAAAAGCCATGGAATGCTGGTATAGGAGAAGAAAGTAGCTAAGTACTTTCAAAGTAGCTAAGTACTGTCAAAGACCAGTGTCAGGGTAAAATATAATCCTAAATCAGCATTTACTTAATTGCTTCTGACTATGCCATTTCATAGTAACAAAAAAGATGTATTTAAGTTCTAAGATAATAAAATTAAGAAGAAACACAAACATGCTAATYAGTGAATGACCCAAATCCAGTTTTCCTTCTCAGACTACTGCTAACCATTACCTTAATGACTGAAATAAGAGATCTGTCTCATAGCAAATTGCCATTCAATAGAAGCAAGTATTTTGCATTTCTGTTCAGATTGCTCTTTAACATTGTGTACATTCCTCAAACCTTAAAGGCCTTTTGGTCTTTTGGTCTCCTGGCTTTGCCTTCTGAAGCAAACTGAGTCCTCAATCGATGATTGCAAGGACATAAAACCTGGGTCTGTATACCCTTCTGCTAAGAGCACATCAGAGACAAAGCTACAGCCAGCATACATATGGGTGTGTAAAAGATCCACACAGCCAGAGGTTCAAATTTAGAGTCCCCTTTAGCAAATGAGGTCTTCTCAAGGGTTAYGTCTGAGATTTGGTCAAAAAAAAGCATTGTGTTATAAAGACAGCATAACCTAAATATTGGTCAAAACCATCTGGTTAAAACACAGATCTGAAAGTAAGGACTCTGCTGTCTTACAGAGCTGAATTTTTAAGGTGTATATGTGGGGAGACAGCTTTGGTGGATGCTGTCCTTAGCTTTAGGATCTTTGCTCTCAGAYTGCCACCAGCCTGGAATCTTTGGGAGATCACAATCTCCTGGGACATGGATGGGTTTGGGTGTCAGTGCTAATGGGGCAATGCAGAAGCCCTTCAAGATGAACTTCGTTTGGAGGCCTTGACAGAGACCTGACAGAGGAGACCACTCTCCRGGGCTAATAGGAAAAGGACCAGAGAAATCCTGAAAGCATGACCAAAGTTCAGCTTATATGTGCTTTTCTTTTTCTACCAGTTTATTTCAGTTCTTTAAAACATGAACAATGCTGTTTTGCTTTTTAGTTTCCTAGTCCATAAGAAATAKAAAAGTTATAGTTTTGTTTGGAAATAACAGAGATTTTCCTCCTCCTCGACTTTAATGTCTGGGGCTATGTTAATCATAGAATCAGGAAATCATCRAATAGTTTGAGTTGAAAAAGACTTTAAAGATCATCAAATCCCAAACCTCCTATCATGTCCAGGGACACCTTCCACTAAACCAAGTTGCTCAAAACCCCATCCAGCCTRGYCTTGACRCTCTCAGGAATAGGKCATCTACAACTGGTCTGGGAAACCTGTTTCAGTGTCTCACCACCCTCACTGTGAAGAATTTCTTCTWTATATCCAATCTAAATCTACCCTCTTTCAGTTTAAAGCTATTSTCCYTTYGTTCTATMACCACCTGCCCTTGTAATACAATTTCCTCTMCAAGATTTCTTGTAGCCTCCTTTAGGTACTGGAAGGCTGCTCTAAGGTCTCTCCAGAGCCTTCCYTTCTCCAGTCTGAAAAGCCCCAACYCTTTTGACCYGTGTTCATAGGAAAGGTGTTCCAGCCTCTGATCATCTTCATGGCCCTTCTCTGGACTCGCTCCACCCGACAGATCCAACAGGTCCAACATTCTTATGCTCGGGACCCCAGAGCTGGTACAGCACTCCCAGTGGGGTCTCAGCAGAGMAAGAGAAGTGAGAATCACCTCCCCTGGCCTGCTCCCCATGCAGGGCATGGCACATTTGAYRCACCCCAGGACACATTTGGCTTTCTGGACTGCCAGAGAACATTTCTAAGTCATGTTGAACTTCTCATCAGCCAAAAACCTCAAGTCCTTCTCCTCAGGCCTACTCTCCATTCTCCACCCAGCCTTTATTTGGGCTTGGGATTGCYCYGACCCAGGGGCAGGACTTTGCACTTGGTCTTGCTGAACTTCACGAGCTTTACAGGCCCCACCTCTGAAGCCCATCCTGGTCCCTCTGGGTGGAATCCCTTCCCTCTGGGCTCTTGATTGCACCACACAGCTGGGTGTCACCGACAGACACACTGAGGGTGCACTTGATCCCAGTCCATGYCACCAATGAAGATGTTAAACAGTGCTGGTCCCAGTAGTGACACCAAGGAACRTCACCTTTTTCTGCTTGGACATTTAGCCATCGACCACAACATTTTGAGTGTGACCATCCAGCCAATTCCTTATCCACCAAGTCATCCATCTGACAAATCCATGTCCTTCCAGTTTAGAGACAAGGATGTTGTGTGAGACGGCGTCARATKCTTTGCACAAGTCCAGGTATGTTATGCTAAGAAGYCATTAATTTAGTGGATTGACTCTGTCACGTCTCTTTTTTTTCCCCTGATAAACTAGGCAAACATGAGGTCACTGAAAGGGCTTGGAAACTGCAGCACAACACTGGAGCAAAGTGGCTAAAGGACAGGGAAACTTTTAGAAAATCAGGCCAAGATAGTCGGCTTCAGTGCTAGTACCAGCTTTCATCTTTGAACAATACTCATTACCAAGATCTAAACCCTGACWCTGTTCTAACTCAAGGAACACCTGAGACAAAAATCCCTGATAGCAGATAGGATGGAGGGATCTCTGCATAGTTACCCTGTTTGTACTCTCTTTTGTAGCCTATACTCTTCCTTTTTGCTCCTATCCAACCTCAGAGACAGGATGCTGGGCTGGGGAGCYCTCTGAGCTGACCCTGTACAGCTGCTCGATGCCCTTTTTTTTATGCTACATTTCAGAGGAAGTGATTTTTTTTCTTACTCCCAATCAGTGTCAACAAACAGCAAACCCCTCCAAAGCCATTTTCAACAGAGTCAACCTTAGTGCTTGCATTCAAGGATTAGTCACAGGCTASTGGAGTGAAAACAAAGCAAATGTAAACAGCTAATGCTTTTGCCAGAAGTATGCAAGAGCCTGTGTGGGAAAGAATATGATATAAGAGCYTGTGTGATCATACATTCTTTTATTAAAATAAAACCTTTCACAACAATTCCTAACATGATTTTTTCCCCCAAGTATCACCATTCATTAAACAAAGCTTGCCTGTGCAATTATCAAATATGTAAGACTTGTGATATCAAGTAGATCCCTCTATGGGTGTATTTCAAATTGCTGCTGTTTAATTATTAACTGACTCCATCATGTTTTCTTTCGATACGTGTTCTTTATTTCAGAAATACATCCTGCAGTATTAAATGGAAAGATAAGCTCAGTCAAGAGTCTGAGAAGTATTGTGAAAATACATTTATGTAGGTTTTTCCACCTTCTGTTTTTTAATTTATCCCAAATGATTGCCAATGCCGRAACAGAGAAAGGAAAGAAAATTCACTGTGGAAAGTTACACTGGCCTTTGTGGCTGAAGGTAGCTCTTCACCCACCTCCTTTTCAACCCTGGCTTAGTGATATCTCAAGTATGAAACAAAAAGTGCCACGCCATGAAGGTCTAAAAAAAACCACTGCCCTGGAAATGACTGCTACCACAGATATGGGCAAAGTTTATTCTAATTTACAGGGATTTTTCTGGCAGTTATTGRATATCCGGTGACCACTTCATAAAGTACACTAGTCTGATAAATAGGAATGTCAAGGAACTGTTTCATTAGGTGTCCAAAGGCTTTGTCTTGACATTGCTAAACCAGGCTGTTTTGGCTCAGAGCAGGATGGAGAAACAAAGGGACTTGGGTACTGTTCACTAAGCCACCCCCATGGTGAGGGATCCTATTCTGGCACCTCCACAGCAGGCCAGCCCACTGCAATGCAGAAGGGATGTGTTCACCTTGCTCAGAGTTTGCCTGAGTCAAAGGCTGCTTCTTTCTCAGAAGTGCTGACTGAGAACTTTACTGCCTTTTCTGAAGTGTTGCTCTTTTATGGTTAAAAAGTCACAAGAAGAGMTGCTGGAACCCACTTTTTTGCTCTTTTCCAGGCAAGAGTCCTTATGGCAGGCTGTGATTCTATCTTGAATGTAACTGTAAATTTATATAACTGTAAATGAATACTTAAAGATTGAAACAAAATGAAAAGCCCTATAATGGGGGTGAAAGATAAAGCATTAGCCCAAAGTACTTATGGACCACCATTCTTCACCCACAAAATGAGATATCRGATTTAAAATCCCTGCCTTATTTGAGGTTAAAATATTTAAACCCCTTCAAAATTTCTTGAGTGGGGGTTTTRAAGATAAAAAGCAGATATACTTTGTGTGAGTCTTTTATTAGCTTCCTTCACAGAATAATACTTCCCGAAAAAGCAAAACTTTTCCTCAGTCCCTGGTTGTTTTATCAAACATTTTTTTAAAAAAACAGGTCTAGGTAAACTCAGAATTTTGGCATATTCTTGATGTGAAGTTTCTTGGGAGAAAAGTATGCAAAAACATAAACAAACTATGAGCAATAAAATTTTCACTTTCTCTGTCCCAGCAATCCAACATGCACCAGGGATTCTCATATAGTCCAAACTGGTGCTGAAGCAGAAAATCTGCAGATCAAGCACGGGGCCTCCAGAGCTGTAAGATACGTCAAGATGAACAAGGAATGTCTGAATCCCATCCTGAGGAAAATTTTTAGGTGAGGGTGACTTTCAGCCCAAAGTAACAAAACTTGTGCTTAACTGTACATAAAATCTGCACTTACCTAACTTAACATGAGATTTCTTAGATATGGATGAAAGTCAGCTGAGAAATTTCAGTTYCACAGACCAATATCTCCCCATCAGTGAGACAGAATGCTTTTTCTTTTGTCTTCAAAATATTTTTTTCCAGATTATCTCCCTCCTTTCTCAAAAAAATCAAATCATTCCTGAAATGCTGGAAGCAGCAATGTTCCCCTGTTCCTTTTGCCTTATCAAGTTTCCAATTCCTAATTAAATATATATAAATTCCAAAAGTACATTCAACCATTGGCATACCCTCAGAACAAAAAAGCCTCCCTCTAGAGCAAGTTACATGAAATCACTTGACTCAACAAGTTAACTTTCTTTTGCCTAACCTAACATTTTAGTGTTTGGCAATGATCCAGGGCTTCCGATTAAGGAAAAAGGTGCTGAGGGGACAGATTTTTGAAAGTGTTGAGCACCCACAGCGCATGTTGATTTAAGCTGATGCTGCATATTCTGGGCCCCTGGATCATCCTGCCCCATGATGTCTTCAATTCACTTTATCTTGGTGTACCAGAATATCACCTTTACTTGCTTTTGTTTTCTTTCCTTGAACAATTTAATTCCACAGAATAGTGATGTTTATCTCTTTCTGAGCTWCAGAACAGAATTTTCTTTTGAAAAATCAAGTACTTCTACACCTACTTCTCCAAACAGATCCACTACAGGGGTTTCGAGTTTGTGACTGTGCTTTCCATTGCTGCTTTGATGTATTCAGCTAAAAGGAAAAAACTGAAACTGGGGGTTTTTTATTTCAAATGCTGGACTGGTCCTCCAAATGGGTGATTCATACCTTGTAATTCATTCCATGTGCATCTCTCACATATGAGCAGTGCATCTATGAAGTAGAGATAATATGGTTTCTTTTCTTCTATTCTTGCAYCTTTTCTCTTAACTAGTTGGGCAATGAGGTTTGTGGTAATTCTCAGCTGAGGTTTCCAGGATCTAATGCTATAAGCTCAAAGCTGTTTTTTTTCCAAAATCATGTTTAGGGAGTTTAATGTTCAAAATATTGTGTGTAACATCTATGGGGACTTGTTACAGAAGTAGCAACCCAAAGCTGGCTGTGCAAAGGTGTCACAGGATGCTCAGTCTCATACTTCTCAGGCAGACCATCTCCACCACCAGAACAAAGACCCTGTGCAGAGACAGGCTAGACAGAGAGAATCTGATTACTAAGGGCATAAAAGAGCCTAATTGTCCCTGAAAAACTTGCTGCTCACTGCTGGCTAAATCATTRCCCCTTTGTTTGGAGAAGCAGAAGCTCTAAAGACTAAAACAGTAAAAGGCTTTATCATAATCCACTCTTCTCCTATGTTTTATAGAGAGTCCATGACAGGACTTAGTTTTCACATTACAAATGGGATGGGAAAAAAATCAATGAAGAAGCTAAAAAAGCAAAATATAATACCTTAGAAATCATTGGGTGTGCCTCACTGAAAGCCACAGGGGCGGAAGGAAGCACTGAATGTTCATGTYTTCCTGTGCTTCAAAGTCGTTTTCTTTCCATTTGGCTTTAAAGAATGTCATTTTGGCTGACTTCACAACTCTTACATCAAGAGTGTGCCTTTCACAGTGATTCTGTGCTGAGACACAYTTGAAATCTAGAGGGGAGCAAAGGGAGAAGAAATAAAGCTTTAACTCAGAATAAAATCAAAATTTTTTATCATGCTAATTTTTTTCCCTTTTATTATTTTATTATTGATGSCAGGGTATGGGGTGGGGGCGAAGGGTTGGAGTAACTGATTTTTGGAAGAAAAACAAATAAGCAGACGAGCTTAGCAGTGTTAGTCGTGGGAACACAAATACCTGGGAGAAAAAAAATTCAACTTCATTGTTTCACACTCSTGCAACATAATCTCTTCCTATGGCATAATAAAAAGTCACAGATAGTAATTTTCAGATATTAGTTATTAGGAACAATGGCAATATTGCTGCAACACTTGACAATTCTCAGTACCATAAAATCTGTGTAAGAAGTGCTGGTGTGTTCACTTAAAAGTGACAATTTTAAATATCTATAATTTATAGTTTAATTAAAATGAATGTCTTAAGTGCAGGATCATAAGAGTCTGAAGATATTCACTCAAAATCCCACTGTAATTCAYAGAGACACATCCCTGGCTTTATCAGACTAACTGCACATTTCTCTTGTCCTGGGTAAATATGTGTTTTTCACAAAAGAAAAACTTGGCAGGGGTTTTCCATGTGTGACTCAAACCTCTCTCTTTCTTTCTTTCTTTCTTTCTTTCTGGCTTCCAATTTGCCAAGTTCTTGAAGCCGATGAGAGATTTCCACTTTTCTACCTATACTCTAAGAGTAAATGGGATCATCAAACAAATTTAAAAAAAACTAAAAACTGCCAAACTAACACAAACTAGTCAGTAATCAGATGCAAACTAATTTGGATTTTTTTTTTTTTAAAAAGGGGAACAGGTAAGTTTAAGGGGGTTGGTGCTAGAAATGCTCAGAAAAGTGTGGTGTAGATCTGTCAGAYGCTCATCCTCAGTTTGTCTGTGCCCCTCCTGGTCAGAGCACTTGAAGCTGAAGTTGCTGCATTCAAGTTTCATTGCTGCAACCAAAGAAAACCTACTTTACTRCAAACTAGTAAGTGTGGGAAGATGGATGCAATTCCTCATGGTCTGCAACTCTGCTCCAGGGGTGACTTTTTTGGAGTCAAGGATAGGAAAACACATCAGGTTGCTACCTGAGAAAATTCAGAAACATCCGAAGTGCTTAGACTGACAGAGAGCAAAAGGTTAAAACTGGACATTGTCTCTATTTTTTGTGCTTTTGTGTGTGTAATATTATCTTTCAGAAGTTCCCTGAAATTCTGCTGCTCTGCATTCAATCCTGCAAAAGAGGCAGAGGAATGGGGAGATCAGRCCACATCCCAGCTCTCCCTACCTGATTATGAGATTACAGAGGTGGCTCTAAGTCTCAAACCAACATCTCATCTGCCTTGATGACATTTTTTAAGACTGAAGGAAGAATTTACGTGGCCAATTCTGTATCACCACAGAAGCCTGGATGGGGGCTTCTAATTCATCTCTCTTTGGAAGGATTCTCCTGTGCACATGTAAGGGTTCCAATTGGGAGTTTAGGAACTCTTGGATTAAACAGACAGATCCATATTAGGTTAGGCAGTCCCATTGCAGTTTACAACTGCAGGTTTTGTGTAGCCAGTTTGGGCTGGGTTTAAACTGACTCAGTGGTCATTAGGGACTGGGGGCAGCACTCAGTGTATAGAGAGTGCTTGGGACAGGCACAACSAATACATGCACAGACTCCCAGACACTCATGAATGTAACTGCAGTAACAAAATACTGGCTAACCCACAGCAGTTTACACTATCATTTACATATGAATGAAATTTGCACTGAGATTCTGGGATTATTCCAGCTTCAGACCCAAAGTAAAACCTGGGGGTGAACCAGCTTGGTCCACAATTGAGTGAAGAGAAAGTTCATGCAGCATCCTGGGAAGGAGAACTGACAGGTTTCACATTTTCCTGTCCCTAGCACAAAAAACGAAACACAATGAAAAAGCTTATAAAAGGGAAATTATCAGATTACAGGACAGAAAAGAGTTCTTCAAACTCTAGTTCATGAACCTTTTGATGAACATGCTCAAAGGTATAGGTCTGAAGTGCAAGCACAAATTGGAACATTTTTTCATTRTTCCTGTTATCATCTTGCCAAATTTCCTGACAGCTTGGAAGAGCCCTCTGCTTTTGTCTGGCCCAGGGATTCTTACCCTGGGGATTACAAGCAGTTGGCAGATGACTCTCATCATCCTGCCTTTCTCTCAAGATTCACCTCCACGGGATARATCCTGCAGTAACAGGTGGGATCCATTTCGATTAGCTCATTCACCAGAGAAATCACRTACTTAGACCCTGAAGGTCTGTCTTATAAATTGAGGGCTCAGTGTAGCCAGCATCAGAATACGGGCAAGCAGGACCAAACTGGCTGAAGTCAGTACGGGGGCAAAGGCACCCTGACCTATTCCTTTCCACCCAGGTTTCCTGTAGGAATCACACACAGAATCACAGAATGAGCCAGGCTAGAAGAGACCTTCAAGATCATCAAGTCCAGCCTTAGGACTAGATGAGGACCTAACACGTCCTTTAGTTGAGGACCTAACACGTCCTCAACTAAACCATGGCACTGAGTGCCACGTCCAGTCTTTTTGTAAACACATCCAAGGATGGTGACTCCATCATCTCCCTGGGCAGACAAATCCAGTGTGTGATCACCCTTTCAGTGAAGAATTTTTTTCTAACATCCAACCCAAACTTCACATAGGGCAGTTTTAAGACTGTGCTCTTTCATTCTGTTGATTGTTGCCTGGGAGAAGAGACTGACCCCCACCTGACCACAACCACCCACTCTCAACAGTTGTAGAGAGTGATAYRGTCACTCTTGAGTCTCCTTTTTTCCAGGCTGAACAACCCCAGCACCCTCAGCCTTTCTTCATAGGGCTTGTGTTCCAGACCCTTCACCAGCCTTGTTTCCCTCCCCTGGACACCTTCAAGCATCTCAATGTCCTTCTTAAACTGAGGGGCCCAGAACTGGACACAGCACTYAAGGTGTGGMCYCACCAGTGCTGAATACAGGGCAAGAATGTGACCTTTCTCCAACTCTCCACCTCTCACAGAATAACCTGAGATCTGCCATGGCCAGCTATTTCCTCAACTGGTGTCTGTCTCTGGAGCAGAGCATATTAACCTGAGCTGGAATGTGCACCCCAGAGCTGTCCATTTCAGTGGTCTGAGTGTGCCTGTCCAGCAGAGGAACAAGGGGGTAATCTGATACTATAACCATTTACTTGTCCGTGTAAAAATGCAGTTCTTGGGAGTCAAAGCCTTCACCCAGATAAAACTAATTTCCAAGACCATCAGGGTGCCTTTAAGGTTGTCTGCATCTCATAAGTATTTTAACATTTTTATGGATCTCTGTTCCCTGTTTCTGATAGGGGATAATAAAATTCCTCTCATTTACTAGGAATAAATATTTATGAAAAAAATTGTAATGGTGACATTCCATAGGATGCAGCATCCCTGTAAGTACCATAAACAGACTGCAAATACGTCATGCAAAACAAAGGAGGTTTTAGTTCCTACTGCCTCCAGCCTAGCACAAGGAATCAAAGTTTGTTTCGCTCTCAGTGCTCTACAGCATCTTGTGAGATCAGGCAATTTTTAATTTTGTATGTGCGTGCATGAGGTTTGTACAAATACCACAGAGCCAAATCTTGTCATGATCCTTCATTCTGTCCTACTTCCAGTCCCAGGCAAAAGCAGAAAGTTTAGAGAAGTGGAAAAGCATACAAATCAAATGCAACTGAGCATTTGTTTCTATTAAAAGACTTTTTTAGGAACCAGCATAGAGGATATGGTCGGGACAAGGATTTGATTTCACCCTTGCTGGCTCCCACGCCCCTAATTAGAACAGAGCTCTTTATAGGTAAATAACATTTAAGTGGAACTATTTCTGACCACTGGGGTCCTGCACTCTSCTGTGCAGTGCCCTTTCATTAGGAATTAGCCGACATGATGCTGAATAAACACATTGTATGTTTTGCAAGAGCTCTGATGTGGTCTCTCCTTAATTACTCTCTTTAACCTATTACAATCATGTGCTGCTTAGCCACACACACCGCAGGACTGCTTGGGAAGGGGAAGATTATGGGGGATGCACGGAGAAATTCTTAAAGGGGCAGGCAGCATAAAGACATGCTACAAGGTCTGTTTGAACTGGTGTCAGATACAATAATGAGTGGGTAGGAATAAAAATAAATACGTAGCACGTCAGGAACATTTCACATTCTSTAAGTGCTATTGCATCAAGCAATATGACTTTCTGTCTCACCAACATGCTCTTGKCTCTGCTGAAGAGACCAGCCTGGCTTGCTTATTTGTGGGTTTTCCTGCAATGCCCTTGGGAGTGGTTTGTGCTTGGAACCTCACCCTATCCCCCTCACCCTCAAATTACACTTCCATTCATGASTACCTATTCAAAGAGTGCTTAGATGCATGCTTAATGCTTTGTTGCTAAGCTTTCCCCGCAGGTGCCTAAGGGCTTTTGTCCTTGGAAAGTCGACTATTCCCCTCTTCCTCAGGTCCCTGTGCTGGAACTCCAAGCAGATTTGCAGGGAGGCAGACAGAAGTCACCACTGCAGGGGATCCTCAGTGATCCAAGGATAATTGTGTGTCACTAATCTGTGCTTTGCTATCATTAGCAGCCACTTTAATACAGTCCTCCCTTAGCTCTGAGTTAGGGTTTGGACTGTGGAATTTGCTCCGTCTTATCAGCTTCACTGGAGCATGAGAATGATCTCAGCCTCTGAAAGTTGAACTATTTAGGCCCATACTTCCATGGGAAAAGTAGGCAGAAACCTGTGGGGTTTTGCCATTAGTTATAGTAGAACAGTAAAACAACTCTTTTGTTTAGYGCTGCAGCTGTCTGCCTTCATGGTGTCTCCAGCAATGCAATTATGCATTAATTACAGCAGCACTGGTTCCCTTCATCTAAACAGGCCCCAGCTTTAGATATTCTTGGTTAAAAACTCAGTAGCCTTTCTGAATCTCAATTCCCGCATT